TATGAACAAGATACTCTTTCTTAATATTATATTTGTCTTATGAATTTCAGTTTTTGGTTCATTAGAAAATTTGTGGTAGTACTTTTTATTTTTATTTATTTTTCATTTGCCAGAAATCCATGAGTGTTCTAGTAATCCATGCCGTAATGGTGGTACTTGTAATGATATATTTAATGGTTACACCTGTGATTGTATTCCTGGTTATGCGGGTACCAACTGTCAACAAGGTCAGTCTCAACATGAACAATTTGCATGATTCACTAGGTTTTATAATTGTGGTAAATTTAACAGACCACGAAATTATTTTATAATAACATTTACAGAATTATTAAATTTATAACTAGCAAATCTATCCAAAGCAATAAACATCTGGTGAAATTTAAAACTAGTTTTGCAAAATTTCCACCCATTCTCTTTAAACAATTGTTGACACTATGACTGTAATTGCCTTTATTAATATAATAAAATTTGTATGTAATCAATATTTTAATATAATGTAATCAATTGGGTAATCCAATGTTTGTTTTTCTGAGAAAGTAACTTGTGAACTATATTAGTTTTTTATGTATTTTAATAAGAACTTGGGGAATATTACCAGAATATCAACAATTTCAGACTTTTAATTGCTTCTTATTCATGAAATATAAATGCATCTTGAGAAAATCAATGTTGGTGATCATGATCATGATCTTGATATTTGATATGATTGCAGAAGAATGAAGACAGACTTTAATAAATTTCTTTCTGTATTTCTAATTTCAGATATTGATGAATGTGCTAGCAGTCCTTGTAGGAATGGTATTTGTGTCAATCTTTTGAACAGATATACATGTTCCTGTCCAGCAGGGTGGACTGGAATCAACTGTGATATTGGTAAGTATGGAATACTGACTAAAAATACTGATACTGCTGCCAGAAAATGTCATGATTTTATTTTGATTATCTTAGACCATTTGCAGAAACTAAATTTCACAAAAGTCAACTTTAGTCATACAATAAACTTTCATAATTTTTTCTCATATTTATGCAAAAATTATGATCAAGACCTGAAGCCAATGAGATATGTCTGTTTGGTCCAAAATTAACAAGAAATTATAGATAAATACTCACAAATGTGCAACATGTTGTGTTAAGACTCTTACACTTTTAAATATTTCACAGACTAGCAACAAAATTAACATTGTAATATTTACTTTTACAGATATTGACGAGTGTTCTACATTACCATGTCAGAATGGTGGCACTTGTAATAATGGACAGAATATGTATACATGTACTTGTGCAAATGGATGGGCTGGCACCAATTGTAACCAAGACGTCAATGAGTGTTCCAGTAATCCATGTCAAAATGGTGGTACATGTAACAACGGTGTACAAGTATATAGTTGTAACTGTCCTTCTGGATATCAAGGTGTCAACTGTGAAATAGGTATGCATTTATCATGCTCCAAAAAAACCTTAAATGGCAGTTACCGGTACAACCATTATTGCCACTAGTTTAAGGTGAATCCGGCCACCCTCGTCTTCGGGGACCAAACCGGATTTAAAACTCTGGACTACTATTTATAATATTTAAAATATGTGCTATGTGAACTGACACACTGCCTTGTGTTTACAATTTATTTAAAGTCTGTTGGCTAATATAATATATATAATTTGAGACAGGGTCAATATATCGCCACTAGGTGGGATTTACCAATGCAATCACCGAAGAAGCTATTTGAATGTTAAAGCATAACTTTAAATATTACAGAAAATATTTGCAAAATCTTACTAGAAATACAATTGCATTGAAATAGCACAAGATTTCGTAAAACACATTGTAAGTGATGACCAGGAGAAGGTAATATTTTGTGTTTTATAACACTGAGGGCAGTATTCCTTAATGGCCATAGAGCTGACTAGGCTGTCTATATATGGTACAACATTGAGGGCAGTATTCCTTAATTAATGGCCATAGAGCTGACTAGGCTGTCTATATATGGTACAACATTGAGGGCAGTATTCC